GTTCTCCACGCCCTGCGAACGTTTGTGCCCACACATGTTCTTGAACTGGGGAGGCCACTTTGGCGACCCTGGAATCCACTGCGTTTTTGGCGCTTGGTTTTGGGGCCGTCAACGGACAAGATTTTCGCACGTGTCGTGATCCGCCTGGCCGCTTCACATTGTTCCTGATCAGTCAGCTGGTCTCTGGAAGCCGGGTGGAGCTGACGCAGGGCCGTGCAGGACCAGCTAAACTGCAGGGAGAGAGCGCGGGTCCCACTAGGCCGACTGCTTTTGGATACTAGTGGTCTCCAGTCCGACCTGCTTGCGGTGGAAGCGAGGCCCCGTCGGGCATTTTTTTGGGCAAGTGCCGCAAAGAAGTGGACAATTACCGATTGGAAAGTTAACGTGTCAAAATCTGCGCCAATACACGGTGAACACCAATCTCCGGCCCAATGGCTACACACGCGCATATTCCCCGGGAAGACAACACCCAGCAGAGAACCATAAAGACATTGGTTCTCCAACCGAGGTCCTCCACCCAAACCTACACTACAACCAAGAACCAAACAACATCCAACAGACTACACAAAGCCAACCTTTTCACGTTCACCCAAACCAACAAACGAGCAACCGACCAACCAAAACACTGGGCGTTGTTGTCACCATGCCAGAACAACCGGGTCGCGACGCAAGCGAAAATCTTGTCCATTGGCGGCCTCAAAATCAAGAAACAAAAACGCAATGGATCCCAGGGTCGCCAAAGTGGGCCTCCCCAGTTCAAGAGTTCAACTTTTCAACAGTTCAATTGGGGAGGCCGGGAGGCCCTCCATGGCGAGACCGGTTTTGCTAGGGTTTTTGGGCCCCAAAATGAAGGCTACGAATTCAACCGAAAACGCAATTCATCTTTGGATACGTCAATGGCCAAGCCCACGCCCAAGCATTTGTTAAGAATGGTTGAGCGCGAAGTACACTTGGAATGCTTTGGCGCAAGTGTGGAGCGCCCCGTTTGAAGAAGCGCCGGGACTACAATGATAAGGTTGCGTTTCGTGGCTTTCTGTTGGTCTTTGTGTTTTCTTGGAAGTTCCTCACTCCGATCCAATTAAAACTTTGTAAAACGCAAACGGGGTGTCGGTACCGCGCATTGTAATAGGGCCCGAGCGGTACCGAAGCGGTACCGAGGCGGTACCGCGCATTGTAATAGAGGGCCCGACCGGTGCCGAGGCGGTACCTCGCATTGTAATGGATGGAGGGCCCGAGCGGTACCGAGGCGGTACCGCGCATTGTAATAGAGGGCCCGAGCGGTACCAAGGTGGTAGCGCGCATTGTAATAAAGAGCCCGAGGCGTAATGAAGTGGTACCGAGGTGGTACTGCGCACTGTAATAGACGGCCCGACCCAACCCAGAGCTTGATTGTAACCGCAAAAACCCTATATAGCGCGTTGCACGGGAAAATTTGAACGTTGACGCTAAGATGGAACCGGACCCGGGCGCAAGCCTGGCGTAGCTTGCAACAAACACAAAGGACGTGAGCTCAAAACCTCAACAATATCTTTTCAAAACCCCATCCTTCACAACATGCATCAAACAACGACGTCAAATAAAACGAAAGAAGGTTTCCTGGCCATACTGAACGCCCAGAAATGGCTCCTGTAAACATACGCAAACATGACAGGCCCCACGGCGCCAAACCTTCGCTTAACATCTGCCCACCCTTCTTTCCTCTCATCCAAAATTAAGACCGCCCACAGAATACGAAGAATGGGTTCGCAACGTTTGGTCTCAGGGCGCTAGGTCGGCTCACGGCGGATGTCCACCACAAGCTTTGTAGCAAACAAAAATGCACCAAGCGTGCAAGGCCGCAATCAGACTGCCGAAAAAAGCAGCTGACCGAAAAAGGCAGCTGACCTTTTTTTTTGGCACGAGTACGGACGCTGTGTGGGCGGTGTGCCCAGGTCATCATGAGAAGGATGGAAACTCTGCATATTGGAAAGGGGGCGACCCAACAGCAGAAAACAAACAAACCCAACAAAACCCAAAACCCAAAAACAACCCCACAAAAGAACCAGCACCAAACCCCAACAACCAATGTGGGCAGAGTTTCGACTGTACTAAGGTGAGACGTGTGAGACATGGGAGCATTGAACTAAGTAGTTGGGCCTGAATTCACGAAAGTCTGCAACACACTGTATCAGGACTTAGCTGCGCGTCCTTGAAGGCCATTCACCAGAGGCCTTCGCGCACCGACAAGGGGGCGAGTCACCCTTGCCAGGTTGGGTTGCAGGGACTTGAGCCTTATTCGAGTGTACGATACATCAGCCGGTGCGAACTATCTGCAGCTCTTACGACCAAGGTTGATCGTCATCGGTCATTACTGGTTGCAATGCATTACAGGCCTTGGAAAACAGCCATCTTGCGGCACAGCCATGACAAACGATTGCACAAGCACAGACGACTGTGGCCAGTCTTGGGCACGAACGAAGTGGACAGTGCAATGTGCAAAAAGGATGGATAGAGCGGTCATCAAAAGTCTCAATCCACTGACATGCAAGGCCCGGGTGAAACAGGTGAAACCAAAATTTGTCCTAGCATGGTACCTTGTGCCATCTTTGTACAGGATTGGCTGAGTGCAGACTCCCACAGACGAAGAACTGAGGTTCTCACCTGGGTGCCAATCGTCTACTGTTCAACCGCCGCGTGCCAATCACCGGCCAAGAGCTGAGGCTCACAGCCAGGTCGGCTCACTTACAGCAGGATGTGGAGACGCAATGGGCAAGCAGATGATCCATACGAATCGGCCTGCAGAGGCAGGGCAGGCTCTTGCTTCACTGTCATCTTACAGTGGCATGTTGCAGGCGAGCTGGGGAGTAAGCAGGCACTCTTTCCCTGTAGGCCTTCAAATCTGTCTATGGCACTTGCTCTATGGAATTTGGTGTGCGCACTGACAAGCATGTGTTGTAGTCGATTCAACTGTACATGCAGGCAGGGGTGATCGAGATTAGGGCCATGCCGGTCACATAGCCCTGGTCAGGAATCATGTGCAGCCACTGTGGCCATCGCATTGCAGGGCAAATAGCAAATGCATTCTCTTCTGCATACGTCCCCCGCCACGTGGTCCTCCGGCTTGGGAGCTTTGTGAATTTGGATGAAAAAAAGGGTTGCATTCGAGCTTTACACGGTGAGGATGCTGATTTCGCAATTCCAATGAGAACGACAAGAATGTGATGACTTCGTAGTGACTTTTTTTGCTGCAATTCCATAGGGGGAGACATTTGTGGGACAGCGTGGGGTGACTTTAGCGGTTCCGGTATGTGTTTTTGATGTATGTCTTGTGGACTTTTGTCCAACGCGTCTTACACTAGAGCTTGAGATCCGAAGGTGCGTAGTTTAAGAACCATGGCAAATTGCGAGGGAACGAGCAAAGCGTTGCGACTTTGGCTTAAGTTTGTATTTCGGACATTGCTTGAACACATGTCCTCTTGGCCTGCGGTGCAATGCATAGCGAGTGGATCTCTTGTCATGTTGTTTGTTGTTCAATTTTCGTCGCTGCCCACCCTCCACGCCGTGTGGAGCAATGCACTGTTTTCTTTGCCTTCGCATCTTGCCAAACCCACAGCCAACGTGAAAGACCTGACATGGGGGTGCCCGCGTCTTAAAATGGAGCGTATCTGCTTTTGATGTCTTGCGCACTTGTGTCCAACGTAAGTAACTACAAAACATTGCGCCAGTATAACAATTTGCCATAAATTTATTGGACTACCACCAATGTAGCTACTACACGCCAGGCAAGCAGCAAAACGCATTTTGGGAACCTTGGAAAACATGTAGTGTAGAAGCGCCCTGAGGGCTTGGGCCTTTGGATAGTAGGCTCCACGTTTGCACGTTCCGATGGTGGCAATGACATTTTCGGCTCACTCCATCCAGTGTAGCGCTTTGTTTGGGTGAAGCTCGCTCATTTGCTGTTCGCGTCTCGTGTCCAAACCTTGGTGTGGGCTCATGATTTCCAGATGTTTGGGCAAATTCCTGTGCAGGTTGGGCGATGAAGGCAGGTTCTTTTTGCTGTTCCCTCTGACACTTTTGGTCGTTTATTGATTAAACTGCTTGGTGTGTCATGTTATTTCATGGTCTGTAGCCGTTTAATCAGCATCCACATCTTCAGTGTGCAGATTCAGGCCGGGTCAACACAGCTGTCGGACATGTGATGCCAGGTTTATTTTCAGAAGTGTGCATACATAGGCAAGTACTCAAAGATATGGCATGCAACATGATGTTGATTGCTGAAAACCTTGCCTTTCTTTGCTCTAGGTTTGGTCGCAACCGTGATGCTTGGTCCTTTTTTCTTCGTTTGGGCGACTTGGTCGATGCTTCCAGCTCTTGGTCGACTTGGCGAACCAAACGTGACCGGTGACAATACGACCGTGACTGGAAACAGTGCAAAACCAGCGGGCAATCTCACCACCAGGACGGCAAAAGCCACACACAATTTCATTAAATTGCATTTTCATTGTTTTACATTTCAACATTGCTTTCTTAAGCAATGCAACCACATGTCAGATGTAGATTTATCTCTGGTTCCACTTCCCAAGAGGTCTTCGTCGAAGCCGGACTTTGATGATGACTTTGATGACTTGGATGACTTGGACTTAAACGAGCTTGAAATGAACAAGACGCGGTCATTCTCCGGTGCGAGAATCTTAGATTGAAAAGAGCATTTTCAGAGAGTGTTTTTTTCGGAAAGAGGGAAATGATTGGGAGCAAGCAGTCACTGGTGCTGTAAGCGTATCAAAGTGTTTGCCTTTTACTTGTGAAGCAGGCAGGGTACTAGTTACAGTCAAGTGTGGAGTTGGTGGTGTGGAATCCTCACAATGGAAGAGGCAAACAGGCAGATTCTGTCTAGTTTAGCTCCTTCAGGATCCGCAGTGCATTTTTTGTTCTTGTAACGCTTATCTTGAGGCTACGCAGGTTACGCAACATACGCTACCACAACCCGATATGGAGATGCGAAAGCAGCTGCATGCGGAGGCATGCACACGGGTGCATTGATTGGAGGCCAGGCAGTTTGGTTACTGTAGTAGCAACATATAACAAGTTAAGATACCGATACCCTAAAAATCAGTGCGAGCGCGAGCCAGCCAGCGTCCAGTATGTAGTTGCTAACTTAGCCTAGTAGCGGTTTCGCCGTTAGGGAGGTGGGGAGGTCGGCCAACAAAGAGCCGAAGCATCCCACCCATTGCTTTGCACCGAACGGTCTGATGAAAACCTTGGTAACCTTGGAGGCCTTCCGTACTATAGTGTCGCATCTGCACAATCAATGTGGAAAGGCTGCTGCTGGTGTGGTGGTTCAGGTGGTGGAAGAGGAACCATGGGTTTGGGCTGCTTCAGCTGTGCCAAAGGCCGGTTCCTCAGGTCTGGTTATGGTTGCTTGCCATTGATTGGCACTGTTTTACTTTCTCCGAAAGGGTCCATCCCAGATCATGCAAGATTTTGTGCGATCTGACATCGCGTGACGTCATGGACTAGCAGGAAACATGACGGCAATTTTGGAGGCTTTATGAGGCTATTCGATGTTCCATTTCGATTCATGACGTTCAAGAAGATCATTGTTGACCAAGGACTGGACTCTACAGATCAGGCATACAGGTCTGGCTTTGCCTCTGGGGAGATCATTATTGTGGTTGCAGATCTTTGCCCTCATCAAGGTAATGAAAAGTGGTGCCCTCAATGGGCTGGGCAACGCAATCAATATGGTGCCCATAATCACTTGGATTTCTCTCACCCACCACCAGGCATCGACAACAACAATTTTGTCTTTACTCCTATCCGATGCCCTCGTGACCTGCGCCACAGATACCACCAGATGTCAAAGTGTCATCGATGAGACGGTGGAAAGGCTCGCAAGATGCTGACGGCTGCGCATGAAAGGCTTACCGATAGCGATAGCGGTCTATGAGCGTGCTGTTTGTGCATGATCCAGGCGCTTCTGGATCTAATCCCGTTTTGATGGCTCTGAACAAATTTGGAGTCTGCAAGTTTTGTCCGTTGGCATAATTCATTTCTTTTTTGCTGGCCGCATCGAGAATCGAGCCAGCTAGCTGCACTGAATTGTCTGATGCATGTACAAGGAGGCAACACCTTCCTATGCAAGAGGCTACTGGCCTAAATCTTTTTTGGAACTACACGTACTTGCGTCAGAGCTGTGAATGGCTGGAAAATATCTTGTTCGATCTCAAGAAGTGTTCAAGAATTCCGCATTCCTCAATGTCGCCAGCACAATCGGCAGGCAAGGATAGCTGTTCGACAATTTGTGAGGCTGTGTCCTTGGAGTAGAATTGCCCGGTCCAGGATAAGAGTGACTGCTGTGATTCACTCACACGTATATACATTAAGGAGATGCTCTGCTTTTGGGTCCACCCCAACTTGATTATTTCCTCCAAGTTGTGCACCGTGGCTTGGTTCTTTTTGCTCTGGATTTACACATTGCAGTTGGTTACCGGAGTCAATGCCTCCGAGGTGCTTTCAATGATTAAAACGGTTAGGACGTTTCAAAAGTGTACATTTGCACCACTTTAACCGTGTACTCTTTTTGACCGGAGAGAGAATCTGGACGCTTTGCGACCGAGGCGGAGAACCAATCCAGCAATGCTTGCTTCTACACGAAGGAGCTTGATTTCAACCATTGGAATCTGGGGACTGGGGGTCTCTCTTTCATTCAGCAAGTGCTTCACTTCGCGAAAGGTAGCACCAGATAAGCCAATATTGCTAATACATAGTCAAAAAGAGGAATGATTAACCGGGCGTAAACTTCAGACTCTGATTTGTCACCATCCCGAGTTCTATGGTGTCAAGATTTCCCGTATCAGAACTCAGAACTGAATTTAGACCTCCCAGAAGTCAGGATCCCCATCCGATTGGAGCACCCCAGGGACTAAAACCAACCAGAGGAAGCGGAATCATGCGCATTCGCAGGAACAGCTTCATCAAGCAGGTGTGATTCATTCTCTCTCTCTCTCTCTTTCTTTTTCTACCTAAACTAAACTGGTGATTTTATCAGCGTGCCAACGTGCAGCAGATATTTGCATAAAAATGGATTGACCTAGTGCTTGCAGTGATTCCGACTAGAGTCTAACTAGAGTGAGGATCGATCTATTTAGTTGGGACCTGCCTTCAGAAGAATTACCATTACCAGACTTCTGTGGCCATCCAGACTTGCAGGTCATGGACCAAGTGAAGAAGGATATGGAAGCTGACGACAAACTCCGAAAAGACTGGGAGCAGGTATGGGGACTGACTGAGTTTCGGTGTCCTTTCAGCTCTTTTGATGCAGTCTGGCTGGCTTCCTCACTTTCTTCGCTCCTATTTTTATTTGCTACCACCCTGATGGTCAGGTTCAAAAATCATCGGACAGGATGCGAGAAACCAGTGTTGGCCTCCCAGAGAAGTATACAGAGAGTGCCCAGGATCAGACTATCAGTGGCTATCATGATTTGGAGTTGCCTTTCCAGGCAGCAAATTCTGAGAAGCTGGAGCAGTTTGGTGAACGCATGAAGAGCCACTTGGATCTCCTTTACAAAGTCACTCTCCCTTGTTTTCAGCCATTTGACCTGTGAAAAGACCAACTTGATTCGATGCTTGCGCATGCTGAGCATCACAGTGCCCGAGATCCTGAGGCCTTTCTTCCCAGACATCAGAGCTGCTTAGCACCCCGGTCGTTGATTTTTTCACCTGGAGCTGTCACCCAAGTCAACTATGCTCTCGTGTAGCTGTCATCGTTTAGTGACTAGTGCACGTGGCTTTGCTTGTGTCAGTTGGCAAGGCAGCTGGTCGGACAAAGCTCGCAATGTTGCCAGTCCTGTCCTCAAGAGCTTGAGGCATTTGTTGGCGGATTTGCAAACACTTCTTGAGATCTTCGTTTCTTCTCTTCTGGATGGACCTTTTAGTGTAATACCTGGTAGCATGCTCCGTCTTGCTCCTGTGTCAAGCCAGATGAAACTAGCATGAAGCTAGAACCTCTTTGGACCTGTGTTATGTGACGTGCAAGGCTCCACTTCAAGCCGCTTGGACCGAGCGACAGAAGACAACGAGGCCAAGATGCACACTTTTGCATAGGTTTTGCTCGCCACTTTGAGGCTTTCAAGTTTCAACAACTGTTTGACTTCGGATTCATTTCGAGTCATCAATCATTCTGAGTCATTGGAGAAGCGGGCTTGTCACTTCATCAGGCTCTGAAGAAAGCACGGGAGTTTGTCAGGAGTGCTTCTGAGCGTGGCAGCCAAGCTAGAGGACTTGTTTTGGAAGCTGGTAAAGGCTCCATGCTCAAGACGTTTGCTCTTTGAGGTCCACATCCGCGGCTTCTTCTAGCTTCCTGAACAAAACCCGGGAGAAGTTTTCCAATGTAATGGATGCTTCATCAAGAGCTGTGGACTACTTGGGTGATGAGAATAAGAAGGCACGCCGGTTGTCTGGGGTAAGAAACTGGTGATAGTCTGTTTGAGTGCAAGAGTGCAAGGCAGAAAAAACAAAGCAGCCTCGAGCTGAGTTGGACCAGTGCACGATTTTAACTAGTATGTCCTTGGGTCCAAGGTGGAAAAAGTCGCGAGACGCCATGGCGGAAGCTGAGAAATCCAAAGCTGAGCAGTCTGAGGAGCACAGCTTGGAATGGACTTTCAAAGTGGGAGGTTTATGTTACTTTATATATGTGCTTTTGAAGCCTGTCTCTCCTGTTTGCGTGCACCGATTCACATCTCCTTTTAGGCCACTGATACATCGGAGAGTGCATCGATGGACAAGGTGCAGCAACGCTAACCGAAAACATGTAATGTAATTCTTTGAGAACATTTTTGAGGATGACTGGGTACTTGCTCAGCTTGGAGTGACGGTGGTAGAGATGCAGAAATTGTTCTGCCTTCAAGTCCCATTATCAGAATCTCAACCTGGCCTTTGATGATAGTCGGTCTTGAAACCAAAGCTGTGTTGTGCTCTTGCCCTGCTTTAAACCAAGCTCCAGCCCATGCAAAGCCACGCCGGAGGCCAAGGATGCAAAAGCTGCTGAAGCCGAAGAAGTTCAGTCTGCCCTTGTGGTTTCCCAGGCAAGATGAAACGGCTTCTGAAAGACTTCCTGGTTTGGATAGTGAGCGATTTCACACCCCATCAGCTTTGATATATGTGGATCACTTCCTGAGCTTCGATATTTTTCTTGTTCAGTCTTTGTTCCGCGAGGCAGGCAGCAGTTCTTGGGGACCACGGCTTTCAGACATGCACGAGCCCCGGATCCACTCGATATGCTTTTGTGAGAAGGCTGACAATGATCAAAGAAAGAAAGAAAGAACAGCACAACCTTCCTGCGACTGTGCAGCGTGGTGCCACCCAGACGAGGAAGGTATACAGGTCCGTGCTATTGGTGTCACCAAATTGCACTGAATAACACTAGTAATTCACTTGTTTCTAGAGCAATTTTGGCGGAGTTGTGCATCACACAGATGCAAGTTTGCCTCAACACCTTTCATACCTCTAAACACCAGCAGACATTGCAGATGCTAATGATGCCACAAAACTAGTTTTGCATTATTTACACTATTAATACACATGCATACATAAAGTTACTTTCCAGTTCTGAAAAACTCTTACTGCACAGCTGGGTGCCTCCAAGTCAGGTTGAGGAAGATGTACAGGGCTTTTCTAGTTCTTCCTCACCCCAAGGCCATTCCTCAACAGCGTTTTCGAGAACCCGCTCTTTGATCGAGTATTTGGCGAAACAGAGCTGCTTAGCTTCATGGAGTGCTTTTGTGAAATCTGAACGTGTGTTAGTGCGCCCTTTTTGAGGATCGCAGCTTCAATTCGAGAGATGAAGGCACTGACTATCAAGGGAGTAGTAGACGTTGTAGCTGTTCAGCTGCCCGCCTTGAAGTTCTGAAGGGCAGCTACAGATTGTTCAAGTGCTGAAGTGTTTAAGAAGTGGCAAGGAGCTGGACTACACGTTCAGGTTGGAGGAATTTGCAGAGGACTAGCTTTTGCAGCTACAGGCCTCCCAGTGTAACGTTCCATCTGTTTGACTGCAGACATGTCAGGACTTGGAATATATTGTAGCACCGCACATTATCAAGTCTTATCTTGAAGGCGACGAAGAGGCAAGGGGTGAGTTTCATGTAAGTTAGAAGTTCAATGCAAAGTAGGCGACCAACAAAGTAATTGTTAGAAGTTCAGAATTCTTTGACCAAGTTTCTTCCAGGCTTTGCAGAAACATTGTGGGGAAGCCTGCTTCAGCACTGTAAATGCAGGGATCAAGGCGCAGAGTCAAATGACCATCCACTCATGCATATTGATGCACCCATCTGTGCGTTGGATTGCAGTTTGCTTGAGCCAGATGCACGTCTGACGAAAGCAAAACAAGCTTGTGTTGTGCAAGTTGAGACACTGTGAGCAGATCATGGGCATCCTGACACTCCACATCCGAAGTGCACGGGTTCGGCTTGTCTTTAATCTTTTCCCGTGACCTTCCAGGAGCGAAAGAAACAGCAAATGAGCCTGGACTCCAAAATCCTTGCTGGACCTCGAGAGGCGCTGAACCTACAACGAAGTGTCTTGAAATTCCACAGGTTTCCAAGTCCAGCTGAGGTGGAGCTAAAAGGAGCCAAACTCATGGAGCAGGCAACGCACGGGCGCATGGGGGCTTGGGCTCATGCTGCAAGTGGCTTTGCTCTACGAAACGAGCATGGTCATATTTCGCGAGCATGCACTGTTTCAGGGATTTCTGTTGTACCGCTACTGCTGGAAGCTCGCAGAAAGGGAAGATTTGAGTCAAAGACCTGATCGATCTCCCTGACCCCTATTCTTTAGACACCTGTTTGCAGTGGACAATCAGTTTTGTGCGTGCAGGGGGCTCCGTGCTTCATTTGGACCTTCAACATGCAGCAGGTGGAGTGCAAAATCATGTCCCAAGTCGTTTTTGAGAATTCCTTATTGAGAATTCAAAACAACGGAACACTATCACCCACTTCAGCAGGCCTTGCATTTGCTGCGGTGGGCACCGCTTGATTTCTTGATATTTGTCAGGTAAACTGCTTGAGGGACTCAGATGGTGAGATCATTGAAGGTGTTGGGTTCTGAGCTTTAATTTATTATACAATACATTAGCTGGAGTCTAAAGCTAATGGTGAGTGGTTTCTGTTGGAAGTATGGGCTCGGCTACGCAAAATCCAAAACGCAAAACGCAAAATCCAAAACGTAAAACGCAAAATCTAAAACGCAAAACACAAAATCCAAAACGCAAAACACAAAATCCAAAAC